CCCCAGGACTGTGGGGCCACAGGGGTCGGGCTGGGCCTCTAATGATCTGAGGGTCACCTTGAATGCGCGTCGTGGGCAGTCGTGGAGGGGCGCCCACAGGCAAGGGCAAGCAGAGTCGAGGCAGGGGCACCCCGCAGCCCTCGTCTTCTTCCTGACGCTGGGTCACATCCAGCCTGCCTCCAGCCAGCCCAACCACGGGTTGCGGCTTGGAGGGCACTGCAGGCGAGCCCCTGGGTGTTTTCTACCATGACCCAGGGGTTTCGTATTCAGTTTGTTCGTCGTCCGCCAACCTCGATGACCCCGACGGTTTTCACAGTGGTAGACTCAGAACACAAGGCAGTGCTCCAGGCCGAGGTTTCTACCCTGCTAGAGAAGGGAGCGATCAGGGAGGTGCCTCAGGGCAACAAGCAGGCTGGTTTTTACTCCCGCTATTTTCTTGTCCCCAAGAAAGATGGGAGTCTACGCCCCATTTTAGATCTCAGGGGTCTCAACAGACATCTCAGGCGTCTGCCATGCAAGATGCTGACCGTCCCGAGGGTGCGGCAGTCCATCAACAGAGGGGACTGGTTTGTCACCATCGATCTGATGGATGCCTACTTTCAGATTCCAATCTAGGACAGGCATTGGCGGTTCCTCAGGTTCGTTTTCGACGGCAAGCAGTACGAATTCCAGGTTCTGCCGTTCGGAATTTCCCAGGCTCCTCGCACCTTTACCAGGTGCATGGAGGCGGTTTTGTCGCCACTGCGACAGAAGGGAATACGGATTCTGAATTATCTCGACGACTGGCTCCTTTGTGCACACTCGCAGGCTCAGTGTCAGGCTCATTTGGCTTTCCTCCTGGAGCACATAGATCTGGTCTGTGGCTCAATTTGAAGAAGAGCAGACTGGAGCATTCACAGCAGACGCAGTTCCTGGGCCTAGTGATAGATTCTCGGGCTGCGCTCCTGTCACTGACGCAGGACAGGCAGTTGTCCCTCAGGGCTTGCCTCTCCCATTTCAGGCTGAAGGCAGGAGTCACATGGAGACTGTGTCTCCGTCTTTTGGGTCTGATGGCGTCCTCAGTGCAGGCCGTTCCACTGACCCTCCTGCACATGCATCCGGTACAAAGGTGCCTACTGGGGCTGGGGTTGGGCCCCAGGAGTCGCCTGGATACCAGGGTACTTGTCACCAGACGATTGCGGATGGCCCTCCGTTGGTGGGAAGACGGCGGGAATCTTGCCAAAGGGAGTGTGCTAGGGCCGGTAACGCATCGTTTTTTTCTCCTGACGGATGCTTCATTGACAGGCTGGGGCACAGTGTTCAGAGGAAATGGCGCCAGCGGTCGTTGGAGTGGTCCTCAAGCCACCCAGCACATCAACATGTTGGAACTGACAGCGGTCCATCTTGGTCTTCGCCATTTTCTGCCACACCTTCGGGGCCAGCACGTGCTGGTTATGATAGACAGTGTGATGGCAGCCGCGTATGTCAACAGGCAAGGAGAGTTGGTTTCTCCACGCCTGGCTCGTGGAGCTGGCTCGTCGCTTATGGCTTTGGGCTTACCCAAGGTTTCTCTCACTGAGGGCAGTCCATGTGCCAAGGGTGCAGAATTGTGCAGCGGATCGGTTGTCCAGGGGGGAACTGGACCCAGGCAGATGGAGACTCCACCCTCAGGTGGTAGCAGGGATTTGGTTCTGTTACGGACGGGCCGAGGTAGACCTGTTTGCGTCACGGGAGAACACCCACTGCCCACTTTTCTTCTCCCTGGGGAAGGACGATCCTCCCCTCGGAGCGGACGCCCTTGCTCACCCTTGGCCACAGGTCCTGATGTACGCCTTTCCCCCATTTGTCCTCCTTCCGCCTCTCCTGAGGAGGGTGCACATGGAGGAAGTGAGGCTGATCCTGGTGGCTCCACATTGGCCGCACATGATCTGGTTCTCGGACATCCCCCCAGTACTGGGCGGGACTCCATGGGAGCTTCCAATTCATCTGGACTTGCTGTCTCAAGCACAGGGGACTCAGGTTCATCCCTTTCCCCAAGGGCTCAGGCTCTGGGCATGGCCCCTGAAGGGCCCGAGCTGCTAGCCATGGGGTTGTCACCTTCGGTGGTCAGTACGCTGCAGGAGGCGTTCGCACCGTCGATGAGAGCACTTTATGCGCACAGATGGAGGGCTTTTGTGGCCTGGTGCAGGGTACACCAAACAGACCCACTTACGTGCTCGGCCCCAGCTGTCCTGCGGTTCTTACAAGGACTCTTGGATGCTGGGAGGGCGCCCTCTACCCTAAGGGTATGGTGGCGGCAATCAAGGCAGCTCGGGTTGGGAGGTACCAATTGCCTGAGGGTGTGGACAAATTGGTGTCCCGATTCCTCAAGGGTGCTAGGAGGCATTCTGGTTTACGTGGTAGACCACCTCTGCCGCCCTGGGATTTGGAGCTGGTCTTGCAGGCTCTGGAGCGTCCTCCTTTTAGCCCTTAGAGTCGGTGGACCTGAAATGGCTGTCTGTCAAATCTGCCCTCCTGTTGGCGCTAGCCACGGCCAAGAGGGTGGGGGAGCTCCATGCTCTCTCCGTACATGAACATCTGTGCAGGTTCTTGCTGGAGGGGGCAGGGGTGGTCCTGCGACCCAACCCTGCATTTCTTCCCAAGGTCCTCTCCGCATCGCAGCCAGGTCAGGAGGTTGTGCTCCAGTCTCTTTACTCTGCGCCAACGCAAGAGGAGGAGTGCGGGCACTCACTTGTGTGCCCTGTCAGGGCCCTTAGGGTGTATTTGCACCGGACGCGGGTTCATAGGCGGACTGACCAGTTGTTTGTGTGCTTTAGACAGGACCTTCTGGGTCAGGCACTGTCTAAGGCCCATCTTTCCCACTGGATTGTGGAGGCCATCCAGCAGGCTTATGTGGGGACTGGGGTGCCCTTCCCATCAGGAGTGCGGGCGCACTCAACTCGGGGCATGGCTACGTCTTGGGCGTCATGGCGCGGTGCGTCTGTCAATGAGATCTGTGCGGCAGCTACCTGGTCGGCCCCGTCCACATTTGCTCGCTTCTACCAGTTCAATGTGGCTGCAGGCACTTGGTTCGGTGAGCGGGTGCTTGGGGTAGCCCGGCGGTAGTGACTTTTTAATTTTTCCTGTCAGTTAGCCTCGTGGGGGCTGGTCTGAGTGGCCTCTCCACCCCTCTGATTGAGCCTTTGTGTCTTGCGGGGCCATCTGGCCCTTGGTTGTGTCTTGCACCAGGGCTGGGGTGCCAGCGTCCTGCGTCTTGCGGAGCTGGCTAGCTTGGGGGATGTGTATATAGTGTACATTTGTATATAGTTGGTTTGACGCACGGGGGTTTTTCTTTTTTGTAGAGCACTTTGGTGGCGGTGACGTCTCAATCGAAAGCCACGCCATACGCGTGGGGTGGTGCTGCTCTGTCCCTTCGTGGTGTGTCTTAAAGTTCTCCCGTAGAGATATATGTAATATCTCTGAAGTGGAGGGGAAGCCTCCTTACGATAGAGAACATAAGGTTACGTGTGTAACCATGGTTCTCTGAGTAGGAGGCTTCCCCTCCAGCACGAGGCCGCTCAGGGATTCGTTCCAAAGATCTATATCAACGTGGGCGTGGTTGACAGGGGTTTAAATAACCGATCTAATTGATAGCCACGTCCACTCCACAGGTGGTTTGTCTTAAAGTAATTATCCACACACCTGACCCTGATGGATCAGGGTTCCCCGTAGAGATATATGTAATATCTCTGAGGTGGAGGGGAAGCCTCCTACTCAGAGAACCATGGTTACACACGTAACCTTACGTTTGTGTGTATCTCTATTCATGGTTATTCATTTGTGTGTGAGATAAATAAATCTGGCTTTGAAAGTTGGAAATGTATGGATTTTGATTTTATGTCATTTAGTGTTTGTGTGAGAGAGGGAGTGCGTTTGTAACCACATGTGTATGATTTGGCTCTTTGTAGTACCACGGTAATTTGTGTGGCTCTTGGTCTTTGACTGGTTGGCCACCCCTGTACTAGAGCTACCTGATAATAGAGAGTTACAGTAATCCAGCCTTGAGGTAACAAAAGCGTGGACCAATTTTTCTGCATCTTTTCAGGTCAGGATAGGCCTAATTTTCGCAATATTAAGCAGATGAAAAAATGCAGTCCGTGAGGTTTGTTTTAAATGAGAATTAAAAGACAAATCTTGATCAAATGTTACTCCGAGATTTCTTACGGTAGTGCTAGAGGCCAGAGCAATGCCATCTAGAGAAACTATGTCATCAGATAAAGAGTATCTGAGTTGTTTGGGGCCAAGAACAATACCTTCAGTTTTGTCTGAATTTAACATCAGGAAATTGGTTCTCATCCAGGTTTTTATGTCTTTAAGGCAGTTATGGAGTGTAGTTAATTGATTACATCATCCAGTAAGGGTCCCCACCCTTCCCCTGAAATACAAACTGAATTTTCGTATGTATGCGCAAGTACAAGTTGAAGACTGCAGAATGAAAGTGAAACAGAAAAGCAAAACATAAGTTAAATGAGTTTGTGTAGTTTTTGGAGATTTTTATTTGGATGTTCCTTTACCTAAAAACTGAGAAAAATATTATAGAACACAGCAGATGTATGCATTAAATGCACCTTATAGCAAACTGCAGCACACATCAAACTACCAAAATGTCGGCACAGCCATATGCCTCCATAAATTTTGAGCTCTTAAAGTCACCACTGACGGTCAGACTGCTGGAGCAGCTGCTGTAGCTGCCTCTTGAGTCAAGGTTACCCGACCCATTGAGTCAAGGAGGAGATATTGTGGTTTATATTAATAGGTTCTTTAAATGTTAATTGTAAATAATTATCTTTATCAGCGGAGTGCAGAGTTATTGTCATATATTTACCACATCATCACAGGAAAAGAAGGTAGGCTGCTTGCTCCGCTGCTGTTCAGTGACTATGATGTTTTTTGTCATAGTTTTCGTCTATGAAATCAATACTGTCACTGACCCAGCCAGGTGTTTTTGACTGTGTTTCATCTCCTCCTCTTTTTCTGTCCAGATGTCCATCCAGACAGGGAGGATTGTGTGTCGGTGTGTTTGTTGCACAGAGACAAAGACAGTGTCAAAGTCAGTGTGAAACTGGATGACAGTGTCTTCAAAAAGGTACAATACACACACACACACACACACACACACACACACACAGGTTAATGTGTTTGCTCCTGGTTTTGAGCTTGCATTCAGATCTCTGGCGGTACAGTACATAAACACTGGTTTTCTGTCAACACAGCAGCTGAAATTCAAGACCCATTGTATTTATGTCAGAAATCAGAAATAACAGTGCAACTGCAGTGTCTACCTTTATTGTTCTTTAAAATGAACCTGGATGAGAAAACCTCTGTTGGTGTATTACGCAACAGACAGTAAACACTTTCCCCCCTGCAGCTTGGCACGAACCAGAGGAAAACCAGTCGATTACCTGTTCCATACAAAGACTGTAGATAATGACCACATAGTCCATCAAGGATCTATCCAGTGTCTGTAACCACTTATCCTATTCAGGGTCCCAGGGGGGCTGGAGCTGATCTTGGCTGACATTTGGCGAGAGGCTGGGAACACCCTAAACCCTAACGATCAATAATAATTAGGGATGTCCCGATCCAGCTTTTTCACTTCCAATTCGATACCGATATTACAGCCTTGAGTTTTGGCCGATACTGATACTGATCCGATCCAAGCGCGCAGTCATGTCAGTCATTTTAGAAAAGGTTTGATCAAGCCATATTACTCTAACAAGAACAACTACTTAATCAGGTTAGTTAGAATGATCCACAACAGTTGGTATGAGAAACTGACCTGTTTATTGTGAACAGGGTTAAATAAACAAACTTTAAACTTGAACATTAACATTGAATAAAAAATATAACTGGTTTGCTCTGGCTGCTTTGGCCCCTTAATAAATAGAAAATAAATCAACACAAGAAATCTTTAAAATGTCTTACACTGAAATTAAAATAACAGCAAGACTCCACACACTTGTGCTTTGGCCCCCCTAATAAATAAAAAATAGATTAACACCACAAGACATTGCTGACATTTAACAAACAATGCAGCCTTTCCTTTTCAGTTATTTTTGTAGTGTCAGTGCCAGCCTAGTGCTGCTGTTTCCTGAGTGTCTGCATGCTGGCATGGTGGATTGATAGTAAGTGCTGGAGCGGATCACTGCAATGGACTGCTTGAATTACGGAGCGCTGGGCTGGCCAGAAAATCTGGATCGGAGTCCATGAAAAACTGGATCGGATTTCTTGGATCAGCATTTTTCCATGCAGTCCGATCCGATGCACATTTTTTGCTAATATTGGCGGCCGATACATCCCTAATAATAATATAATGATATTTATGTTGAACATTTCTGCACATGGCTGTAAAGTGTGCAAAACATTTGTGCATGCTATTACAGAGAGACATTTTAGTTTTCAGTTGCTTTGTAGTGCGACTCACTTGTTCCAGAGAAGAGAAAAAGAGACGAGACACAGAAGAGACCTTTTCCACTCACTTTCCTTATAATCCTGCAACTCCAGAGACAACACATGGCTGCTGTTTCCCCCAGATCTTTGTCTTACAAATTTTTTGAAATCACATCCAGATCTGCCACTCAACTTTTGAGGGGAACGATGGTACTTGGACAACAATAGAGGGGATTGTAGTGGTGGGAGTGTATGTGTGCAAGTGTCCTCAGGTATCGAGAGATGAAAAAGTGAAAGTCTTTTCTGATTGTCATGTCCTTATAGGGCTAGTTTAGGACAAGAGAATTTGTGTTTGGTGAAACTTGGACTAAGTTTGTAGGAAGTATTTAGAGTATTTGGGAAGTCCTCAGTTTAAGCATGAGAGTGTGTTTTCCAGTGACTGATAATGTTTCCTGCTGATTGTTAATGTTATAATAATATAACCTTCATCTCCTCTGTCTTCCTTCACTTTCTAGCCTAAAGATCCCCCCTTCTGTGTTGAACACGAGGACAGAGGGGTTTGTGTTTCATGCTCAACCACAAATAAGGCATTGACACAGGAAGCTCTCAATCCCACTGAGGGCGCTTTGTCAGTGGGCACACCTGATGAGGGGACCCCTCAGAGCCCCAGGCTGTCCTGGAAGTCAGAAACAGAGGACAGAGGTGCAGCACACTGTTTATTTTCTCATGTTTTCTAACAGAGGCTGTTCTTATTTTTCAAAAGAAATCCAGGAACTTAATAATATATAATACTACTGGTAACAAGGTAATATAAGGAGCTGGAAAGTCCCAATGTGGCAGGTGGGAGGGGAGGTGGATGGGTCCAACAAATCCTGGACTTTCACCCGGGAGGCCGCTGTTGGCTTTCTATGTGAATTTTTAGCCATACTGTAATATTTTTTTCTAAACCTAACCACATACTTTTGTTGTCTAAACCTAACCACTTGCTTTTGTTCCCTAAATCTAAACACTTGCTTTTGTTGCCGAAACCTAACCATGTGCTTTTGTTGTCTAAACCTAACCACATTATTTTGTTGTCTAAACCTAATCAAATGCTTTTGTTCTCAAAACCTAATCAAATGCTCTTGTTCCCTAAACCTAACCACGTGCTTCTGTTGTGTAAACCTAACCACATTATTTTGTCTAAGCCTAATCAAATGCTTTTGTTCTCTAAACCTAACTATGTGCTTTTGTTCCCTAAAACTAACTGCATGCTTTCATTCCCTAAACCTAACTGGGTTTTTTGTTCCCTAAACCTAACCACATGCTTTCATTGTCCAAATTTTAACCTTGTGCTTTTGTTCCCTAAACCTAACTATTTGTTTTTGTTCCCTAAACCTAACCACATGCTTTTGTTGTCTAAGCCTAACCATTTGCTTTTGTTCCCTAAACCAAACCACATGCTTTTGTTGTCTTAACCTAACCACATGCTTTTGTTGTCTTGAACTAACCATATGCTTTTGTTGTTTAAACCTAATCAAATGCTTTTGTTCTCTAATCCTAACTATGTGCTTTTGTTCCCTAAAACTAACCAAACGCTTTTATTCCCTAAACCTAACTGCATGCTTTTGTTCCCTAAACCTAACCACGTGCTTTCATTGTCCAAATCTTAACCTTGTGCTTTTGTTCCCTAAACTTAAAACAGGCTGCAGTCTGCCTCATATGTTTATATTAATGGCATTTGTTAGTTCTGCGTATTGCACACCTGACCCATGATGGATGGACCACACCATTTCACAGTAGCTGTGGGGGGTTAGGAGTATCAGACAGCATGGTGAAATGTGTTTTAATTATAAAATGACATTTATTTATCATATAAATACATATAACTTGTAAGTGATGTCAGTCAGTAAATGGTTGTACTTGATCCCATCTAAGGGTCAATCATAGACCTTTTCATAGGTCCCCCCTTGGCCTTGGGTAAGGGTCATCTGTACCCTTTGACTCTCCTGACAGCAGGCCTGCTTCTATTTCTGGTCTTGGAATGGTGTTACTAACCATCTAGCAGTGACCCTCACTTAGTGGGGCTGCCTCCCAGTGTATCTCACTGAAGTGGACTATTTTGGTATGGAGGCGGAAGGGGCAGAGAGCATGTTGCCCGCCCTGTTGTGAACGGAGAACATTATATTAGACACAGTTTAAGTATGTATTTTGTTCTCCAAATGTAGTGGGATGGTTCAATGTATCACTCGGTACGTAATACATACCGAACCTAAAGCCTCGTACACACACACACACACACGCACATCCATATATATACATAT